AACTAATCATAATAATATTTAATTATAATATAATAAAAAAATAATTTGTTTATTTAATGATTACAAACTGCTTTTTATTAATAACTACTCTATATATTATAGTGTTCATTAAATAAATATTTATAAAATTTGATTTCAAATAAATTTCAATATTGTAGAGTTTGCAAAAGAAAAATTGGAGTATAATAACCCTGATATAATTACAGAAAGTAAGAATGATAACGAGACTACATATTTTAATAATAAAGAAAAACAAAACAATTCTGTCAATATTAACAACAAAGTAATTTGTCGTGCATATGTTTATTTTTGCACAAATTTTGGAGATTCTGCTAGTAAAGGTAAAAACTATGTTATAGGTTATTCAAAATCGAGCAATTCTTTTTTTCAAAATTAATGCCTTCATTTATTTATAGTTGTTGACTTACCACCAACTTTTCAATCCTTGGAAACCTTGCAATTTATTTGTATTAATAAGTTACAAACTCACTTGATGTCACTTGGCTTAAAGAATGGGTTTTTTAACTCCTCGATAGATAAATAACTCTCGAAAAGACTCAATATCGTTTCCAAAAACGAGTGCACACAAAGCCAATTGGGCGCGTGAGATTAATTGACACTATTGTTGAAGGAGAAAATAAAAGCTTTAAAGAAATCGTTCAAAATGGAGATTTATAGTGTTAATGGGAGAAAAATTTAGAATAATTAATATTCTTTCTGACTCAGTATTAAAAGTTGCTGGCAATTTCAAAAATATATGTGAATTTGAGGTTTTATCGATGCTTATCGTTATATATTAATGTTTGAGAAATATCAGTTGACAGCTGCGTCGAACCTGAACAAAATCATCCTCTAAATTTGAAGATAGTTCTCGATATAGAGAATAGTAATAAAATCGATGAATATGAAGAGAAATTTGAGGAATACATTGCTGAAATTTTAAAGATCTGAAGAATTCCACAGATCTAAAAAAATTTTCTACATCAGTTATTACCTTCGAGGAACTTAATATTAAAAATGTAAAAGTATTCATCTGAATATAATTAGGAGATTGGATTATTCAACCTTGTTGTTACATTGATTTTATTTGTAGAAACGATAAGTATACATGTTAAAACATGGAAAAACTTCGGCAAGTGTGACCAGGCGGTCACAGTTGAGTAAAAATTTGATATTCATCAAAATTGGAAAATTTTCGGTAGCTGGTACCAGGCGGTCACACTTGAGTAAAATTTGGCAAGTTTTATCCCAGGGAACATTCATAGCAATCATACCAGAGATATAACAATTATCAGGAGAAAATGCTTTAATTTCACTATGACTAAAATCCTTATCACTTAAGTAACAATTTTACTCGTGGAGTATCTGGGAATCTACGCATGAAAGATGTAGGTGGTGTGGTTTGACCATTTCGATTTTTTTGATTATCTCGATATTTGTAGTTCTCTGCAAGATTTGCAATGCGTTCCTACATTGCAAAAGTTAAAAATTATGAGAATTATTTCATTATAAACTCAAAGCGAAGATATCAAATCCTTCCAAAGCAATAACATGACTAATTGCAAACTCTACTAATGGGATTGAAGTCTTTTCAACCGCTAGCTATGTTGTAAGAAATGGCCAGGAACAGTATAATCCGTCATATTGTAAGTCCATGAAAAATGATTCCATCCATTCACCTAGTTATCACAAAATCTTCATTCAGTAACATGCTGTAAAATATAAAAACTTCTTTGTAAGCACATACCCATATTCAAAAATATACCGGCTTCGGCCGGGCCGCCTTTTCTTTGTAGTTGCATATTAATCGATTTGCGGGCTCGCAACTGTGCTTTCACGATGTCCTTTTTTTGTTGGAGTGGTGTACATTTTAGCGGTTTTATTTCTGAGTTAAGAATTGTGATATCATCAACTAGCGGCCCTTGCTTTTATAACTTTTGAGCAAAATTCGTGCTTTTTAATGTGTATTTTAATTAAACATTATTATTGTCAGAAATGTGATCTAAGTTTCCAACTACGAAGTATTATCGCGTAATGTAGTTACAGGGTAATTGTCGACCGAATTTTTGTTGATTGCGATTACAATACTAATAATACATAATTTTTTTTATCCTTTTGACTTGTATTATCAAATGTATTATCAAAAAATAAAATCCTTGATTTTGTATTGTACAAGTACTTGAATTCTTCCATGAATTGTCACTTGTATTATTTTGAATTTCAAAAAAATAATAATCAGATCCGACAAAACCATAAACAATAACTTGAATTACTTACATACTCGAATATTATGACACAGACATTCTCGATTTACTTTTAATGATTTTTCTTGCGGATTTTTTAATGCTTGCTCAAGTAATCGAAATTTAAAGATGATATAAGTGTACAACTTTAAACTTGAAAAATCGCTTCTGACTTGCGTTGAATAAGATTGGAAGCACGTCACGTTAACAAAAAAAATTTATTACTTTTGCATTTTGGAAGATATTCGAAATAATGTATTGTATTCGAAAAATTATTTAAGTATGATTTGTAGTGATCTTCGGGTAATAAATATTAAAACATTGTATTGTATGGTACATAAAAAAAAAAACACTTTTTATTTATAGAATCAATAGTTTTTGAACTTAATTCTTTTATTTTTTCAAAATATACAAAGAAAATATTGTATATTATTAGTAAAAAAAAATTATAACAATCATAGAAATTGGTATTTTCAAGTACCCAAATTACTTTTTCCACATAGGCGTGTACTTGAAGTAGGACAACTTTATCCCATCGGTATTATGTATACACCGGTCGAATTTCTTATCACTGGTTTATAATAAGCATCATTGATGTAATTAATAATTAATTTAAAAAAATTGCTTATTTTAAAATGTCTGTTTATTAATATGAAGATGAGATTTACATATTTAATTGTACTATGAATATGTATCTTTAAAATCTGATTGATTATTTACTCGAATTTCTCTTTTTCATAAGATAATAGTGTTAAATCGTTAATTCTTATAGCTTTTTATTAATTAAAAAAAATATAATTAAAATGTATAAATAATCTAAATATTTGCATTAAACAAATGTTTGTGTTAGTTTATTATATATTTTATTTTGAAATTCATTTCTAAAGTTCTTGAAGTTGATGTATTTCTTTATCTTTATTGTAAATATAGAAAACATACATAATTGGCTTCTTGTACTTAATTCCGCTTGGAATCCTTGCACAATATCCATCTGCTTTTGGCTTTATTGTAACGTAGATTGCATTGCTTCAATTTGATAAAAATTAATTTTGTAAGATAACATTAAAGGCATGCAGAAAAAAAAAATGTATTAAAAATTCCACAGGTATACATGTATATGTCATAAGCCTGTTATTCCATATGAAGTTACGGATAACTGGGTTTATGCATGGCATGGGATGGGTTATATAATAATTACATGTCACTTACGTGCATGTGATTATATCTACATGTCCCGTGAATAACCTAGTTATCCATAACTTCATATGGAATAAAGTTAAAAAGTTCAAAATATTATTTTCACAGTCAACAATATTTATTAAAATATTAAGTCGTGTTCTTATTTAAATAATACACATATGGCCACAATTACATGCGATAGTGTTATAGAAGTCAAATAAAACCACAAATAACGACAACAATTCAACCTAACACTCAAAGTAAAAGGACGATTCAGAAAAATGAGCATAGATTTTTTCATCTGATGGAAAATGATGATACATCTTACCTAGTTACTTGTAAAATTGTTTTACCTGGTTCCACCATCTCGGATGACTATGACCATATTTTTTTTTTTTACCGATCTTCTGAAACAAATTATTATATTATACCCTCATTCTAATCACAAATTTATTAAATAAAGAAATGTATGGGATTGATATCGATGTAAATAATTTAAGTTTCAATACGTCGCCGTTATCTGTAAATCAAAAAAATCAAAAGTTCGATCTAAAAAATAACTTGAAGCAAATTCTTTCTTTACATCTTTCAAGATCAAGAGATCAAATTACTGAGAATGAAACGGTATCAAATTCGGATGGAAATATGAAAAATAATTAAGGAGATGACGACTATATTTTCGAAGACACTTCGTCATATGATGGTAGTATTTCTTAAGAAAATAGTCAATATCACACATCCACAACAATTTGGTTTCAGTAGCATTTCACAACTCCAAACTTTTCACACAGTTAATTATGATAACGCCGAGAATATAATGACACAATCCATTTCAACAGTAGTTATCAAATCTTACCAAGAAATCGAGTGCACAACAACATCTCGATTTTTATTTTCAAGATAATTTTATTTAAATTTTAAGCCTTTTTGAAAAAAGGTATATGTTATCAAGAATTCTAGTTCGGTTGTATCCAGTTCACAATGAGAATTTAAAATTATTACATTTTTTATTTATCCTAATAATATGAATATTTATAAAATGTACTGAATCATGTTTAATTATATTTTCGTCTATGTAATTCATTTATTTACCCATATAAACGTGAAATATGGGAGCGTACGTTTCACAATAAATCGACTTATTTTAAACGATATCATTTTTGTATTTTTTGTTTTTTTGTTTTTTCATTAATTCATTAATTAATTATTATTTTTTTTTATATAACATTTTTCATAATATTTTTATTTTGCCAATTATTTAACAAAAAAAAAATAACGAAAATACAAGAAATCAATCATCTAAGAATATAAATTTAATAATAACCTATTCTTCAATCTAGTTTATTTGACCGACACATTTTGCAGGCAACCACATTTACCGATAACACCCAACGATCATTTGTCTGGAACCAATCATTTTGTCATTTTTATCGTTCCGTTCAAAGAAAATTTTTTACTGTAAACATTTATAATATTAAGCCATAAAACATCTTTTATAACAACCTTATACATAGATATTTTGTATCACAAATTTTTGGTTGTCGGTAAATGATAATATGTAATGCTAATTAAAGAATGCTGTAGGCTTATTAGTTCATTCAAGAAATTAATGGTTAATTAAGAATCTGTGACCTTTGCTGCATTAGCGAAGTTTTAAATTTAGCTTAACTTTATTATCATATTCAATGCAATGTAATTGTTTAAAACTCCAACACGATTTCTATCACCTATCCAGTTCTAAAAAGATCCTTTTCATTTATGATGTAAACTTGAAATTGCAGAAAACAAATTTAGACCATTTGTTAGTAAATTATCATCTTTCCAACTTTATTTCGCATAGCTATTTTATTTTTGTTTATAAAGATAAGGAGTCAATACATAAAGCAATATTAAAAAGTTTTAAAACTATATAAAACTCGTAGAAATGAATTACAAATCCTATTTTCTTGAACACGATCTATTAACTTTTTACTAAACACGTTAATTCTTCATGAGATTGAGTAATGAGTTCGAATTTTGCATCTCCAAATCTCTTCTGGACATCATGCAAAATCAGATGAATAGGGGTCACATAATAATATGGATGAGCGCTTCCAATATATATCCCCCATAATTTACCATTATCGTCAAAGACTGGTGAGCCTGAATCCCCAGGTTGACCTTTAAAACAAAGAATAATTTATGAATAATTCAATTTGAAACATTAATTTTAACTAACTTACCAAATCTATTGTCTTTACTGGTAACCTTTAATGCAAATCTTTCTACTCTTTTTCCGTTTTTTTTTTCTTTACCCTTAATGACGAGCGGTGGAAGAAAGCTTACCAGCTTATCCTGTATTAACCCTCTAGTTATAGAGGTAGTTCTTCCAACTTTTTGTACCCATACAAAGTTTTCATTGTTACTTACAGAAGTTTTGATGCTACTAATGGTAATATTGCTTCCCAATGGAGTATTTGGTATTTTTGGGATCCCGCGATCATTTTCAATTTCACAAAATGCATAGTCAAGAAATTGACGAGTAGGATTAGCTCCCAAGAAATGATATCTTGTCACCTTAGCACATAAACTAGTATCAATCTTTTTATTTAAAATTGTCAGCAAATCAATTGCATAGAGAATAAATTTATTGTTATATATACCTGGTCAAGTATTCCTGGTTGAAATACTCCATCATTCTTTCCAAATCCATGCTTTGTAGTTAATAAAAATTTCTTATCAGGCTCTTCTGTATTTTGAAACAATCCTCCCAATGTACAGGCGTCAGGTAGATATCTTGAACTGCCAATACTTATGCCGGGCATAAGATCTTTATGAAAAAAACGATGATGAAATTTGAAATCGACTCCATAGGAAATTATTACAGGGTATCCCATGAATTCGGATGGTAAATTAACTGGAGTTTCTTCTGGGACATACACAAAGACTATAAGAGCTTCTTTATTATCTACTAATCCTTCGTTTACACATGTTAATGGAATTATTTTATTAAATTTCTTATGAAATTCTTTTAAAATAATATCAAACTGTTTCAAATGCTCGATATCAAATATTGGACTAATTTCGCGTCCATCAAGCTTCTTCGCTTGGCTTTCAAACACATCTATAAGTATATTTCGGTTAGAAAACAATTCCGTTCATAAATAATTTAGGTATTCAAATTTTACAGACTTTACAGACCTGCTTTATGATCCATAACATACCGTTCTTTTAATTCAGTAATATTTCCTTTATTCGTGTCATTATGTATAATGAAAATCCGGTCATATACATTTCCTTTATCGCATGTGATATTTTCATTTGATCCAAGAATATGCTGCTCGAGTTCAAATAAATGACAAAATTTCTTTTTCTTGTCGTCAGCAAGAATAATTTCCAGTCTCCCATTTTTGTAGATACTTTTAACCTGATAATTATGCCCTTTATAAGCAAATACCAGAAAATCTTTTTAAAATCATATTAACTTCAGTGTGATAAAATTTACAAACCTTGCACTTGTATGTGAAAATTTTATCATTGAATATACTCTTGTAAATTAATATATCTCCCCGTTGAATATATTGCTCGTTATATAACTGCTGAATAGAATAATCGGCCATAACTAAAGAAGTGAGAATAAGGTGGTAAATTATTTATTTATTTATTTATTTATTTTAAATCTCCAACGAAAATACTTTAGAAATAAAAGAAATTAATTTTGTTTAGACGCGACACGCACGTTAAATATATTATTCCTTGATAAGCTTGTTTTATACTTTAACAACGTGTTTTTCACGTGATAGTCAAGTTTTCACAGCAGACTTTATAGTCTATATTATAATACAAATTACGTTAACGTATAACTCAACGTATTAACTGCAATCTTATTCATTCGTATTTGTAATTACAAATATACTATAGTAAGCTCGGTTGATTTCTCATGGCATGAAAGTATAGTAGATTCTGTGCAAGTGCGCAAGATCCGTACTTCAAGTAAAGTATGTTTATATCTTGTTTATTAGTGAATGTATGTAAGTATTTATATTATTATTTCTTATTTTTTTCGCAGTGATTTCTTTTCCATTTATTATTGTTCGACCTCATAAAAAAAGTAAATAAGCTAAGCACATTTTATTTTATTTCTATGGTTTTGTGACAATACTTTATAGGTTTTTACCGTTTTATTTTCCCTATACTTTGCTTTTCTCTTTGTTTAGGAAAAATTAAAAAGTGCCGAACAAATGAGTATGTGGGTCAAGATTTGTTGAGAAGTATATTTATTATATTATTTGACCCTTGTAAAATGATTTATTTTTGAATGTCTTTTGGGCTTCAAGTGAATGAAGTAGTGGAAGATGGAAGAGACTTTTAAAAAATATATTATATTTTGTAATGTTAAAATAATGTAAGTACGATATAATCACGAAAAACAAATATAAAATTAACGGGATACTATGTTACGTTTAGCATATTATCATTATACATATATTTTACGATACTGTTTGGTTCGTTTTTTATTTTAATTTAAAATATTCTTCTAACTAATTCTTGTTATCTCATAAAAAAAAGATATAAATTATGGGATTATTTTGCTTCTTTACTAGCGTTAGTAAGATATGTTTTATGAAGGCGAAATTTCGGCCAATTTATAAAATTAATATCAATATTGAAGAAACAAAATCTATAATAAGAATATATTCATTTCGAACGTCATGACGCCGGGAAACGTCAGTCATTTTTCTTTTCTGCAGCGATTGAATAATTTTATTTTCCAAAACTTGCGAATGATTTTTTATCATTCTTATTGCTCCGTTGTAATGGTAATTTGATAAAGGAAGATTTTTTAAAATTATTTCTTTTTTTAACTATTTTTGTAAGAGGTCACCATTATTGCAAGAAAAATCTATTATAATCGAAATGTATCGGACATGGTCCTGACTTTTCCAGAATTAATTAATTTCATGTCAAACACATTAAGAAATCCACATTATCGCAGTAGCCAGCAGGCTTAAATTGAGCGTTGACATTAGCTAAATTAAATTGATTTTAATATTTAAAGATTGCCAAAAGTATGACGAAAATAACCAAAAGCATTCGGATCCGTATGATAAAATAATAAATTAGTTAGCAATAACGTGATAAGCAATAGCTCAGCGTTCCCCATGAATGATCCCCTTCATTAACTTTCTAATACTTTTTATATATTTACTATTCCAATATTATTTATTTTATTCTGTATTTGTATTTCTGAATGAATTACGAAATATTTGCACTGACTTATTACTTATTGTTTTTAAACAAATATAGAAACGAAATAAACAAGTATGGAAGGAATCTGTAATTTTAATGTCTTATTCACCATTTATTCCTTCGAAGAAATTCCAATTCTTTGCAAATTTCCTTGCAACTTTTAGACAACCTAGGTCTTTCATTCACTAATTTTTATTCAAACAGAACAAAGACTCAGAAAGAGATGTGCAAGTAAGTGGGATTCTCAATACTTCATTATTTATTGATAATGAATAATCTAAATAATTAATTATAAGTTCAGGTTTGTTCTCGTGAACTCATTCATATATAAAATAAACAGATAACTTTATTTACAACATTTTTCTTCTTGATACAATCTGGGTAGAAATTAACATAATAACACGTGAGGATACTAGCTACTAATTTCTCTAACCAAAAAATTTGAGGAAAACCAGTACGGTACAGTTCGGCTGATAAGTACGGTACGATCCTCACTACAATATTATTAAGACCAGTACAGTACGATCATATATTTGGATAAAGTACTGTATTATACCATACTGGTCCTATAATAGAAAGCATTTATATAGGTACTTCCTATAATAGTACCGTACCAGCTATATACCTAGTTTTCCTCCTCACTGTGTAATATTAATAGTTATTTTGCATTCTACACTTAGGAAAAAAAAAAACATAAAAATTAAATTGAAAGCTGGTATGATCAGTACAAATTTGAAAGATCGTACTGATCTTACCGCCGAACTGTATCTATACTCAAAAATTTGGCACATTTGTTACCAAATGTAAGTATTTAATAATGTCATGTTTACATGTCCGATAAGCCACTTAAATAAAATAAGTCTTATATGTGAATGGAAGATTTCATAATTTATAATGAAAATTCAAAATTCAAATACAATAAATTTAACTTCTTTTTTTGCCGTTTTTAGCTCTATTATTCAGTTTCAGTAATGACCTGGTCATTTGACCATTTAAATGATCTGTCTATTCCTTTATCATAATCATAAATCATTTAGCATTTGTCATTTCGCAAGTGATCTAAATGACATGATCAAGCTCATTTAAGATCATTTAAATCATTTGTCATTTAGTCATCTGCTTTTACAAAAATTTAGCAATATTCTTAAAGAGTCGCAAATTCTTAGCAAAACTTTAGAGAATTCTTGATTTTATAAGAGTTTCGCAATTTTATCTTCCAACAAAAAAGAATTGTTCCAAAGAATGATAGAAGAATTGTTTCAGTAGAATGATAGAAAAATCATTTTAAAGGAAAAATTAAAAGTATCATTCTGATAAAATGTTCTTTATCGTCCTATTGTAATGATTTTTTGTATTGTTCCTTTAGAATCATTTTATTGAAATGATTTTTTTATTGTTCCTTTAGAATGACCTTTTATCATTATTAAGGAATGATTTTTTGTATTATTACTTTAGAATAATGTAGTATTGTTTTATTGGAACTATTTTTTTATCGTTCCTTTAGAATACCCTTTTATCATTCCTATTAGAACAATTTTTTTATTATTCCTTTAGAATGATCTTTTATTATTCTTGAAGAACAATACTTCTAATTGTTCCTTTAGAACAATTCTTTTATTATTCTATCAGAATAATACTTTTATAGCAAATTTCAAAATGCAGTAGACACTCAAAAAAAAATTAGTTAAGAACTTGTCAGGTTCTCAAGTTGTCACAATTTGAAAAATAATAATAAACATGTAACATCACTAATTAATCTTATTAAATAACACGTCATCTCTTCAATTTTTGACACATTATACCAAATAAATCATTTTTATTATTAGGTTTTTTTTCTTGTAACACATTTTACTTTAATGCATATTTAATTTAGTACAATAAACTTTTTTTTTAGAATTTTATTTGAATGCATATTTAATTTGTCTTATTTGTTTTGATTGTTAAAATGAATATAATAAAAAATGTACTTGTCAACACAGGTCGAATGCTGATAAATCAGGTATCTTCCCGATTAGTGACTATTTTTTGATTAGCAATTAATAGATAGAAATCAGTAGATACTACAATCAGGTATGAATCAGTTAATACCATAATCATAATTATTAGGTAGAATTACATAAATCAG